GCCTCCGCCCGCGCCGCCGCCCGTGCCACCCTGTGGCGGCGGCGGCTGGCGGCGCGCCTGCTCTACAGAGGGGCGCCCGTAGTTGAGTCCCTGCAGGGCTACCAGCACCATGGCTGTGTCGCTGGACTCCACCTGCGCATACGAGTGTGCAGCAAAAACAAAGATCAGAGGAGGGGAGCTGGGCGGAAGTTGCAGCATCCACAGCTATGCTGCCTGGCGCTCAGAGGCATTGTTCAAGAGAAGGGGCGGCTGCCGCGAGGGGGCTGCTGCAGCGCCAGGACAAGCGTGACTGCAACCCCTGGCGAAGCGCCCGTGCAGCAGGGCCTGCGTGGTCAAACCTGGTCAAACGAGAAGTGGATGTATCCGTGGTCATCACACCCGACACGTATGCGCACTTGCGCACATGTGCAGGCGCGTGCACACTCACAACAACACTCTACCATGCACCCACACACCAGCATCCTCGCCCACACCCTATAGATACTACACCACACACTCGCCTCACCTTGCACACCGCGTACTTCTCCACCAGCATGTCCCCCAGGTCAATGATCCTAGTCAGCAGCGCCGCGACCAGACCGGGAGGCGTGTCGTCCATCACGGCATCGAGGCCGGTCACCTGCGGTGCAAGGCAGCGGTGGATCCAACAAGTGCAGAAGGGATCCGCGGTGCATAGTCCGTAGTGCAGAGGTCATGTGAGAAAGTGCATGCTGCACAGTCCATGGCGCAACCGTCGTCATGAGAAGTCATGTCCTCTGCGTCTATTTGGATTCCGCTTGCCCTGAAGGCAAGTGGCTGGGAGGTGCCAAGTTGCTGGGCTCGTCGGGTTGCAAACATTCGCGCCCGATGTCGGCGAAGGCGCGCCTCGCACGCTGAACCCGGCAACGGGGGCGTTCTGGGGCACAGGGCACAGCGACCAACAGGTCAGCATGACAACCAACATGCCCAAAGGTGGGTGCAGGGCCGGGAGACTTGAAGCAGGGCCTGCCAGCGCACCTGGATCGCCAAAAGCGGCACCGGCTGCTCCCGCCGCAGCAGCAGCCGCTGCTCCTCGCTCAGCCCGCCCCCGCCAAACACCGCCGCGCCGCCGTCGTCCCCGCCGGCCCCGCCGCCGGCGGCCGGCAGTAGTGGCGG